CACTTTATCTATTTCTATCTTGGACAAGTTGCCATTTTGCTTTTCAAGTCTGGATGAAATGGCACTCTGTACTTCCTCCACAATGATATTTACCAGTCTCTTTCCTACATACGACGGATGAAAGGCAAGCTGACAGCTCTATCGGCTGATTAGTGTGGACTTGTGTGTGAGATGATGTTTCTTGACTGTTTGTGGATCTGCATTTCTCAAAGAGCCAAATCAACCGCAATCACTGAATCAGGACATATGAGCCTGCAACTGAAAAAAAGTTTTTGTACCTATATATTTATCATTTTTTGTTACTTTTGTTGTCATCATGTGGAACATAATGAAGCCTTTTTATTTAATGTATTAAAATGATATTGTTTACTACACAATCATTTTTTCGTGTTTTGTTGTGCTGGCAGGAGGACGGATATTGAGTATAAACACAGTCACTTGTCTGTTAGTCTGAGATTAGTGGGGGCGGTGGGGTAGCCTAGTGGGTAAAGCGTTGGCTCGTCACACCGAAGACCCGGGTTCGATTCCCCACATGGGTACAATGTGTGAAGCCCATTTCTGGTGTCTCCCGCAGTGATGTTGCTGGAATATTGCTAAAAGCGGCGTAAAACCAAACTCACTCACTGAGATTAGTGGAAATGTAGGACATCTTGCTGCTTTCACAAATCTACTACCTGGTATTCCAGTCTGAGCCTAAATGTCTCGAGTACTGTGTACCATTGGGTCAAAAATGCAGTGAACATAAGATTTGTTTTATCCCAACCATCAAGTCGGTCTTGTTAATTTTTATCCCACATATTCTTTCTTGTGTGCCACTACTACCTTTTTTGTCCAAAACTGATTGAAGACTAAGATTTCATTCCACAAAGTAAATGCAGTGCTAAGGTGATTGTAACTTCTGTACTTGTAACTGTCTAAAAGCTACAATTGTTTTGTTGAACAGAGCCCTTGTCACTTATGACTTAGTTGAGATGTGATGCTCATTGTGGCTATTACTGGATTGTTGGGTCCTTGTTCCAGATCCACTGAGCAATTGTAATGCTACGATGATCATGAGGCTATGGCAGAGGATGGGAGTCAAATTATACTTAGCGCTAAGATCGCTTTGTGAAAAGGGGTGGGTCTATTACTCACAGGTTGTCATATAGCTGGAATATTGCTGAGTGTCATGTAAACAACAAACTTAAAATTCTAACAATATCTCCATCCTTTATTATAATACTTCCAGGGCTCTCATTTCAGTTAAGCTAAGCTACACTAACCCCCAGATCCACTCTGGGTATCCTTTCAATTTAAAATCATGCTCCCTTGATTTCAGTTGGCCAAGTTAATCTGCTAAGCTTTTCAGTCCACAAACCAATCAGAATGCAGATTGTCTCAATGTTGGGTTGGCAACATCAGCATGGTGACCAGTCCCATTACAACATTAAAAAACTGATAGACTGACATACAAAAGGAACCCCTCAAATCACTTTTTGATGGAAATGGTGTGTTCATGTCCATTTCCTTTACCGATTCCTTTGTCGTTATCTCGACATTCGATAGGTGGGCTAAATGAACCAGGTTTCGGGTAATATAGCACACTGAGCACTCATTGTCATTAATATAACTCATTTGTTGATTACATAATGGACATATATCAAAGTTCTTGTGTTTCATTTGACCATTATTTGGGAGCTGGTCATATATGATGGTGGGTATCATGAAAAGTGTTACATGGTTTCTTTGGATTTTTGTTTAAAGAAAATTGTTATTGTTTTTTTATGAGTGCAGGGGGAGAGGAAAGAAGGTTGGAGTGTTTGAAAATATGTTACATCAAATTGGAGGTGAAATAGGGTTTAACGTCATACTTAAGAATTTTTCACTCATATGACAACATGCATGCATGTGTGGCTGCTTGTACTAGCCTGGACTTATGCTGGTTTTATAGTGCTAGACACATTATACTGACTCCGAGCCAACCAGTCCTTATTGTACCCATCAATGCGGAGCGCCATGCAGGGACCAACAAGAACCATATTTTAACGTTTTTTGGTATGACAAGGCCGGGAATACATCAAATTGAAGGGGGTTGAGGAGCAAAATACAAATATGACACTGTCCTAAGAACGATTGCACACGCCAAGGGGTGAGTTGACGTGTGCGTTTGTTATCCTTGTCTGGAAGTCCTGGACATAAGGTCGGGTTATTTACGTGCGCAGTTCATAACTTCATTTTGGATAATCTATCTTGAAAGGACAAATGTCAAGTCGGTCAATAAGACTTTTGCTGAAGCTGTGAATGTTTTCTGGAGAAACTAATTATTCCCCAAAATACAGTAATGTTTAAGCAGAATCCCCTGGCAAGTGGTGCCAGAAAAGTGTTGAAATCAATAATGCAAGAGATAAGAACAAATTGCATGTACTGTATTCAGCATTGCTCCTTCAAATCTTCAGTGTCTGTTTATTCAAGTTCATCACAGCAACACCTGATGTTGGTTGGTTTATTGTTTAACGCTGCACTCAATATTCCCGCTATATGGCGGGGATCTGTAAATAGTCCAGTCTTGACCAGACAATCTAGTGATCAACATCATGAGCATCAATCTACATAATTGGGACATGATGACGTGTCAACCAAGTCAGCGAGACTGACCACCTGATACTGTTAGTCGTCTCTTCATAGTTTGCTGATAATCAATTCTAACCTGGACATCTGATGTTGATGGACATTATATACTCTGCTAAAAAAGTAGGGGAACCTGAATTTTCAATTTGGATAGGAAGTATATGTGGTAACAAACCTTTCAAAGACAGACATCTTATGAATGCACCACCATTTTTCTTTATCACCACCCCTAGACACAACTTATGGGATGCACGTGCACAACGCAGTAGCCCCATACACGTGCATAGGGTGTCATTCTTGACTTTGACAGTTTTCAAGACCATTAATTTTGACGATCATCTTGCATCACCCAGTTGTTGAACAACATGCAAATTTCATGTCATACACCAATCATCTTTCAAGAGGATTACTGTACAAAAAACTATGGTCATAAGGAAGTGCAAGTGGTGATGTACTCTCAAAACATTTATTAATATATATCAACATTGACTCTAATAATCCTCCAAATTTCTTCAATCGTAGATTAAAAATGAAGTTCCCCTACTAGTTTTGAAGAGTATAGATGCATGAGAGCTGCTATGGGGCTGAATCATCTAAGGTGCTGAAATCTGCAGTAACCAGGGGTACGAATCCCATTTGCAGGTTTGTCAGTACCATATCCGTGCTTAAAGGTTTCACCAAACTGACAAGAGTCTAACACCTGCATTGCTTCGTGCTCTCCTCCTCCCACATCAGGTGACATGACCAAACTGGAATACTCTTTAAAGAAGCGGAAGATCCGGGTTAGAAAATTGATCTTCAGTAACCCATGCTTGTCATCAGAGGCGACTAACGGGATCGGGTGGTCAGGCTCGCTGGCTTGGTTGACACATGTCATCGGTTCCCAATTGCGTAGATCGATGCTCATGCTGTTCATCACTGGATTGTCTGGTCCAGACTTGATTATTTATGGACCGCCGCCATAGAGCTGGAATATTGCTGAGTGCAGCGTAAAACTAAAGTCACTCACTCAAATAAGCCCGTTATTTGTCTCTCCACTCACTCATTCACAAGTGAAGGGTTTACTGTTTTGGGCTTGTTCTTCGAGAAAGACATACATACATCACTAACCTAGAACAGAATGCCTTTTCTACGCAGAATGTAAATATATATCATGTTATGTCACAGGTGCCGACAATTTCTGAAATATCTCTGCTGATACTTCATTCTTCAACAATAAAGGTCACAATGCATGCCAGTAATCATGTACTTGACCAGAAAATGAACTTGTAACAATTATGACCTTTACCTTACCACATATTCAACCAAACCATCATCAACTCCACTAAGTGCTCATGAACATAAGGTTCTATTACATCACCAAACCAATAACATCAGGAAAAGACGGAGTGCACAGAAAACTTGGTTTTGTGCCATTTCTTCAGTGACGACATCATGACTGCAACACAGTGATCCCCTTGTCTTTCTACATGCTCATCATGACTTATCTGTCTTTCACAAAGGTCCAGCTCCAACCCTTGTGTCTCAGTGGTAAAGCTGTGTCACTCAAGGAATAATCCCCATTGGTCTCATTCCGTCAGACATTTTACTCTGTTACCACATTGTGTGCGTATCTGACAAAACAGGATTAATTCCCCCATCTCATTATATCAGACCTTTTACTCTGTTATGACACTACATTGTGTGCATATCTGACAAAACACTACATTGTGTGCATATCTGACAAAACAGATGTTAATTTTTCTTCTCCCAACTTAAGTTACAAGCTCTGGTTTTACCCTCACCCAGTACCACCCTGAGGAAATAAGTTTCGGCTGAAGACCCATATTGTTATGTCGACCATGGCGCTGTTGCTGTAGAGTGGCAGCACTTCGACAACTACTCTGTGAGTGAGTGAGTGTGTGAGTCTGTGAGTGAGTTTGGTTTTACACCACACTCAGCAATATTCCAGCTATATGGCGGTGATCTGTAAATAATTGAGTCTGGACTAGACAATCCAGTGATCAACAGCATGAGCATTGATCTACACAAGTGGGATACGATGACATGTGTCAACCAAGTCAGTCTGACCACCCGATCTCGTAAGTTGCCTCTTACGACAATCATGGGTTGCTGAACACCAATTCTAACCCGGATCTTCACGTGTTCTCTGTTAGTGAGGGGATTAGCTCTGTTGTTGAGCCATACAGTGCATGACCCAAGTAAACTTTGACAGGATGAGTGAAGGACGAAGCATCTGTGTAGTGTTGAGCCAATCAAATGTGAGAATTCTGAAGAATTTGCTTCTTTTAATAAATTCAATTCTGAAATTCTAAAAAGAAAATTTACAATACAAATACTATTATAGAATGTGGATGCTATCACTCTCACAAATAAAACAGAGGCAAATAATATTCACATACTGTAATACCATATACTTTATTAGTTTCCATTCAGAACTTCCTGTGCAATTTCAAGAAGTCAATTATGCTGCACTGACTGGCAGCTCCACTCACTGGCACTTATAATTCAAAAGCCAGATTGGCTGATTTCAACTTATGTGACTTATGTGAATTTGTCAGATCTTCACACACAGAGGTTTATCAGAAGAAAGATCCCGTTTGAATTCACACAATCTTGAATCCGGAATGAATGGCTGCCACTCCAAATGTGAGGTTCTCATGCTTGACAACTCTGAAGCCAGCCCTTTGGATCATGTCAGAAAAATCTTTCTGGAAAAGAGAAATATTGACAGTTAGGTGTGAATAGGACTACCTGCTAGACTCTAACAGAAGCATTTAAGACTGCTAGCCCTAACTTGGTCCTTAACAAAACTTTCAATAATATTTATTATGGAATATATTTAGCTCACCTAACTAGACAGAATTTTACTAGACTTGGATTTTGGGCTAGTGTCATAGGTTGCACTACTTGCAAGTAAATCTACTAATGTTCAAAGCTGATTGTTACACTGTGCACTTTAATGAACACAATATTCTGTATCGATTCCCAAATTACCTTGAGCTGAACAGTAATGGCATATCAGTTCAATGCGAAAATTAACCAGGAATGAGACATTTACTACTTCAGCCCAAACCCATGAGCATAGGCTAGATAATGGAATGAGCAAGTATCGTAATGGGGCACAAATTTGGCCCGAGGCAACAGATCCTGAAATGACTAAGGGACAGAACTCTGCATGACCTTCATGGCACAAAGTGAACAATCAAGATTCCGGTTTAGAATTGGTTTCAAGAAACCTATGCTTGTAATGAGAGGTGATGCAATGGATTGGGTAGTCAGACTCAGCGACTTGGTAGACACTAAGGTGTCTGTACCAAGGCTGGCAGTGGACCCTTGCCTATGGACATTCTGATGGCATTCTGACATCATTATTCAATTACATGTATTACCTGATCCATTACGTGACCTTCGGTGACCAGCATAGGTTGCTTGGGACCAATATTTACCTGGAACACCGGTTTGTTCAATCTGCCAGTGGCTTTCTAACATCCTCTCCGCACCGGTTTGCATACAATGACATGTGTCAGAGCCTGACTACCTGATCCATGACCGACAAAGGTTGCGGAGGACCAATTCTAACCTCAAGCACCCCTTGGGTCGTTCGGCCCAGAGCATTCTCACTTCCTGTCAGCATACAATGACATGAAGCAGAGAATGACCTCTCATGACCGACCGACAAAGGTGACTGAGGACCAATTCTAACCCCGAACACCCCTTGGGTCGTTCTGCCAAGAGCATTCTCACTTCCTTTCAGCGTAAATGACATGAATCAGAACCTGACCTCTCGTGACCAACAAGGGTGACTGAGGACCAATTCTAACACGGAACATTACCTTGGGTTGTTCTGCGAATGGCAGTTAGATCTGGTCAGCCCAAAATGACATGAATCAGAACCTGACCTCTCATGACCGACAAGGGTGACTGAGGTCCAATTCTAATACGGAACACCACCTTGGATTGTTCTGCTAATGGCATTCTCACATTTGGTCAGCCCAAAATGACATGAATCAGAGCCTGACCCTTAATGACCAACAAAGGTTACTGAGGACCATTTTCAACATGGAACACCCTTGGGGTCGTTTGCAAATGGACATCTCACATCTTTTCATATTTGTGACTATGGTTGGATCACAGAGATTCTGTTCTTCAGCTCTGTATTGATCCCCTCAGTGATGTAACTGCCGGTCACCGTGACCTAGCAGGTGGGAGACTTTCAGAAGATTTACTACAAGCTTAGCACAAATCAATCCTACTGTCACAACAATTTCTTGTTTGGCATAGACATCAGCTTGAAAAATCAATATCTTGATGAACTGTCTTCAGATATACTACTCCACAGAAGTTAAAGAATAACCCAAATTTTCAAATGACAGATCTATTATTTTGATATGTAACACAAGTGTGGTGGGTGGGTGAGTGAGTGAGTGAGCGATATCCCAGGATGTCAGTTTGATGAGTCAGTGAGTTAGTTTAGTTTTACGCCGCACTCAGCAATATTCCTGCTATATGGCTGCGGTGGTCAGTAAATAATAGAGTCTGGACCAGACAATCCAGTGATCAACAGCATGAGCATCAATCTGCGCAATTGGGAACCGATGACATGTGTCAACCAAGTCAGTGAGCCTGACCACCCGATCCCGTTAGTCACCTTTTACAAGCATGGGTTACTGAAGGTTCATTCTAACCCGGACCTTCACCAGTCAGTTTGATGAGTGAGGATGCAGGCCTCAGACATTTACAACTTAGGATATCTATCACATCCCACCGATGGCAAGATGCCATGCAGGACACATCTTATAGAGGCTGAATTTATCGCTAGATCAGGTTCTGTTAGGTTGCATGGTACTCTGAATACTTCAGACGGTTATCATTGACACATATTGAATTGCAAAAAAAGTATTTCTGTTTACAATAGGGGTGGGTATTGCAGAGAATTTTCATATTGTGATATATTGCGATGCGAAAGCATGTATTGCGATATGTATTGCAATATATTGCATGAAGTATTTTTAAACAAAAACTACTTATAATCGAGTTACTTCTTGATTTATAGAGCAAAAACACAACAAAATCACTAGGCTTGATTAAGCTTTAATAACAACTTTTAATCATGATAAAATAAAAATGTGAATAATATTTGGCACAAATGAAACAAGGACATATCTGAACATTTCCGAGTGTTACGAAGTTTTCCGAATGCAAGTCAAAATACCGGTTTTCGATCAGCGTATCGCAATACGTATCGTTTTCATGTCTGAACCAGTAAATACCAGTAAACCGGTTATATTGCGCAGCCCTAGTTTACAAGCCTATCGAGCTAACTACATAACACACCAGCAATGAATCGACTGACATTCTCCTGCACTTGGACTCACATGTATAGATCTATAATGATGTCAACTTACTGTTCTTTAGGCTTCTTTAAACAGTGGAAAGCTTGTAACTATGCCCTCGGTATTCCCAAAATACCTTCAGCTTTCTAACTATAAAATGTTTTATCACCAAAGATTCAAAACAATGTTGTAACAAGCATTTTCACTGGTTAAATTAGTAACAGTTTATTACATAAACATCATGTTTGGTATTGTAACCCACTGTTTCTCCACTGCTCCACTGGGGCAGTGATGGGGGGTTGTCTACTCTGACCCTTCAAGATTTCACTGGTCTGCATGCTAGTCTTTCTCTTGACTCAGACCTTACAAAGAAAACTTCTCCACTGTGCAGAAAAACACAGAAAAGTCCACATTAATCGTGGCAATAGCTACATAAACATATTACCTCGCTACTGAAACAGTAAAAACAGGAACGAAAGACTATGAAACTGCAACATTTTTACATCAGCAAACTTTGACCTCTACTGTGCATGCACGTTATGATGCGCGTTACGATGTGCATTTCTTTCAAATTTCCAAGCAACCATGAATCGCCTCACACAGAAAAAGAACTGAATATGTCGAAATAATTGCCGTCAATCATTTCAGACGAATGGAAAGTAAACTAAGCAAGTGTGCACACAAGTATCATGATGATAAATGCCAAATAACACAACAGAAATACTTTAACAAGAAGACAAAGTCATCAATATCCCCCACAATGGCAAAATACTCTTCATGATTATGTCTACGAGTTATGATTATGTCAAATATTTAGGTGTGTATATAGAAAAGTGGAAGGAGAGTATTGAACGGTTTTTAAAGTTCTGCTCCAGAAAATAGCACTATCACCAATTTCAGTCTATGTCAAACTTGTTGCCATGGAAATGCCAAAAATATTTTATTCAGAATTCCAAAACTACCAAAAGGCACCAGTACACCACCAGATCTAAGTATGTGCCAAGTTTGGTGAAGAAATGTTGAACTGTTTGAGAGTTCTGCTCTCGAAAAGAGCACTACCACCAATTTCAGTCTAAGTCAAACTTGTTGCCATGGAAACGCCAAAAATATTTTATTCAGAATTCCAAAACTACCAAAAGGCACTAGTACACCACCAGACCTATGTATGTGCTAAGTTTGGTGAAGAAATAGTGAATGGTTTGAGAGTTCTGCTCTCGAAAAGAGCACTATCACCAATTTCAGTCTAAGTCAAACTTGTTGCTATAGAAACGCCAAAAATATTTTATTCAGAATTCCAAAACTACCAAAAGGCACCAGTACACCACCAGACCAATCTATGTGCCAAGTTTGGTGAAGAAATATTGAACAGTTTGAGAGTTCTGCTCTCGGAAAGAGCACTACCACCAATTTCAGTCTAAGTCAAACTTGTTGCCATGGAAACGCCAAAAAATATTTAATTCAGAATTCCAAAACTACCAAAAGGCACCAGTACACCACCAGATCTATGTATGTGCCAAGTTTGGTGAAGAAATATTGAACGGTTTGAGAGTTCTGCTCCGGAAAAGAGCACTACCACCAATTTCAGTCTAAGTCAAACTTGTTGCCATAGAAACGCCAAAAATATTTTATTCAGAATTCCAAAACTACCAAAAGGCACCAGTACACCACCAGACCAATCTATGTGCCAAGTTTGGTGAAGAAATAGTGAATGGTTTTAGAGTTCTGCTCCGGAAAAGAGCACTACCACCAATTTCAGTCTAAGTCAAACTTGTTGCCATAGAAACGCCAAAAATATTTTATTCAGAATTCCAAAACTACCAAAAGGCACCAGTACACCACCAGATCTATGAATGTGCCAAGTTTGGTGAAGAAATAGTGAACGGTTTGAGAGTTCTGCTCCGGAAAAGAGCACTACCACCAATTTCAGTCTAAGTCAAACTTGTTGCCATGGAAACGCCAAAAATATTTAACTCAGAATTCCAAAACTACCAAAAGGCACCAGTACACCACCAGATCTATGTGCCAAGTTTGGTGAAGAAATAGTGAATGGTTTGAGAGTTCTGCTCTGGAAAAGAGCACTATCACCAATTTCAGTCTAAGTCAAACTTGTTGCCATAGAAACGCCAAAAAATATTTTATTCAGAATTCCAAAACTACCAAAAGGCACCAGTACACCACCAGATCTATGTATGTGCTAAGTTTGGTGAAGGAAATATTGAACGGTTTGAGAGTTCTGCTCGAAAAGAGCACTACCACCAATTTCAGTCTAAGTCAAACTTGTTGCTATAGAAACGCCAAAAATATTTTATTCAGAATTCCAAAACTACCAAAAGGCACCAGTACACCACCAGACCAATCTATGTGCCAAGTTTGGT